TACAGTGCTCAACACATACACATTAATAGCAATGAAACTGAAAAATATGGATGTATGTGTAATATGTTAAAAGTAAGAAGCTATCTTTTCGTTACAGCTTTTCTTTTCTTTATATAACATAATTCAATTTAAATTCGAGAGCCAAGCATACTTTTGTTAAGTCCGAGTGAGAAAAATGAAACATTTATGAAACATTCAGAAAAAAATGATCCAAATCTTCAATGTAAATGAGTTAATAAAAATTTCATTATATATATATATATATATATATATATATATATATATATAATATATTCACTTCTATATCAAAAATAAATTATATATATCAAACATTCTCATTATATATATATATATATATATATATATATATATATATATATATATATATATATATATAAAAATATAAATATATATATATATATATATATATATATATATATATATAATGTAAATCTATTTTCATCGGTGGGTGAAAAAAACCTACATTAGGATTTATTTATTTTTTATATATATATATTTATATATATATATATATATATATAGTAGTGTGTGTGTGTGTGTGTGTGTGTGCACTGGTTAATATCATGCAGATAGCATGCAGACACGTGTGTTTATGCAGCACGATGCTTTTTCCTTTGTTTTTCCTCGGTGTAGGTAGATATACAATGGCGAATCAATAACTCTGTAAACTGACATGTAGTTATTGGTTAAAATTGGATTAAAAATTTTCACTGTGATTTATCAGTGTCATTAATATTCATCACTGTGTTAAGTGCATTGACAAGGAAGATATTTATGTTATAAAAAATAATTATTGCGTAGAATTAATATTTTATTAATAATAATAATTATGTGTGAGTATTGACGCGTATCTACACATTATGAAGATTTCGAAAATTCTGAAAATTTAGAATCATAGCCAAAGAATTTTTGTCATTTCTATTTGCTCTTCCATTGACTGTTTAATATCTGCTTCGATGTTTTCCATGTCACTTGCAAAACATTCGTAGAACTTTTAACCGAATTCATTAATCGCCAAATCGATCGGCTGAATTCAAATTCCGTTGATTAATGTTTACCCTTTTTTTCCCCATTGTCAATCACTACAACTCTGGTGTAGTATCAATGACTCACCATTGGTGAAAACAAAGAAATTTGTGGTTAGTGATAGAAGAAATAAAAATCCATTTTCCATGATTAAATAACATTAATAATTGCTTGCCCATCAATTCTTATAGTGTGAAATGTATCTTAATCCTTTTTTATTCATATTATACATGCTATTGTGATCATATACTAGAATAAGATATTATATATGTATGTATGTGTATGTGTGTGTGCTCGTGTATGTGTGTGTATTGTCTCTCACATTATAAGGCATTTCATTGTTTATCAATATATAACTACTTGATTTTGAAAGAAGTTGGGGACTTTATCTAGCCGATCTATATCCCGTATGAAGGGAGAAGTTAGAAAAAAAAAATTCGTCTTCGTCTAGCGATGAACATTTCAATGTGTCAAAAGCGCACGATCTCGTGGCTTAAAGCAGATGGTAAAACATCCGAGGCCAATCACGAAGCTACCTTTAAATAACATCCACGAGAAAATTAAATGAAATTGACAACAGAATATATATGAAGGCTGACGAATGTCGTGGTAATCTTGATGGGTTAGATGGCTCGGGAAATACCTGGTGGTTACAGGACTAATATTTCGAGTGGGTTTATAAGTGGTTAAATAGTTTAAATCGCAAGTTTCAGTTGGCACTAAGATGACAATTCATATACATATTAATTTTTGAAGGCACGCATAAAGCTATAGTCCAAGAAGCGGAACTCTTTCGGAAAGAAGATGATTTTTATGCATAATAATCACATTCTTCATGTTTTGCAGTCTGTTTTATATGAAGAAATACAATAGTTCATAAAATCAGTGGTTGAACATCTCCTAAAATAGTCTCAGAGCATATAGAATATATTTCATTTTGTAGCCACTGCAATGACACTTCTTTAATATTTGTTTTTTGTAAACTTTGTGCACATCCTGTAATTATATTTTTTTTTATTGTAACATAAATAATAGTTTCATTAATCTGGCTAACCATGCGAAGCTTAAAAAATCTGGTAAAATTCTTGAAATTGTCGCCACATCATAAGAGTTATATGAGTTATAATTTATAAATATTATTTGAAATATCGCGCACATCAATAAATGCAAATATAGAATGCCTCCATTTGTTTTCTGAAAAATATGAAAAATTAAAATGTCAAATAATGTGAGACGTGATGTATATGCACGAGGGTGCATCAATAAATCCATAATTTTGATCTGAAATTTTCATTGTATAATGTTCGAGCTGTATTATTAATTACGAGCATCGACAAAAGGGAAATTAAGCCGAAAAATAAATATTCTTTTGTAAAATAAATGCTTACCAATATGTATATATATTTATTAGGGAAATATATGACAAAGTTTTCCTTAAAATTGTTCTTGATATATAAAAATTTATATATCGTTTTCCCATATATACAAGGGCTGCTGAAAATTTCTTTGTCTGACCAAAAAGCAATTTGAAACAGTCCAATGCTTGGTCACATATCGGGGAATAAATCAGACCAAGAATTTTTCAGCATCTCCTCGAATATACGCTTGTATGTTTACTTGGTGGGCAAACATGTGACTTTACAATATGTCTGTATTATCGAAAGCTGTCGTCATGCATTTAAAATTTTATTAAAAAAACGCATGCTTTTGCCCATTATTTACGTCATTGCAGTTACACATGCGCATAGTGCCAGATGCGAGTTATTTAAAACAACTGTTGAAAGAAAGAAAGAAAGAAAGAAAGAAAGAAAGAAAGAAAGAAAGAAAGAAAGAAAGAAAAGGGATAAGATTGATAGAGACAGAGTATAATAGAAGGTGCAAGACGAGATAGAGAGTTCAAGTGCAGGGAAATGAACAGGATAGGAATATATAACTGAAAATAAACATGATAGAATTTAAATTTAAATTCTTGAATGATTCACGATCGACAGATAGCTCCTTTCTTTCTTCGACTTTGTAAATTTATTAAATAATGATTGCATTCAGAATAGTTCCTTGAAAAATTATTACAAATAAGAAAAATAATTAAATGAAAATTATACAAAACCGTAAAAATGTACTACGCACCACATCAATTTGTCAACCTGATTACCAAGTGAGGTAATTCAACTAGTAAGCGTATAAGTATGCCAGTTTCCCATTATAATTTAAAATGCTTCTCGCTTTGTTAAATATTCTGCACAGAAATTTATTAAAACTGATTCCTCATATATATATATATATATATATATATATATATATATATATATATATATAATTTTCTACAATAATTACCCTGACCACGAGTTAAAATAAATTTTGAACGACTGTGTTTGACAGATATTCTAAGGAGAACAAACACTGGGTATATTTCTAACATAATGACACAGCCGACGAACAACGGAAACAACCAAACAAAAGAAATTACAGAAAGACAAACACGGCAAAATTCAAAAATCGGTTAAAAACGAAAGAAAAATGTGGGAACAAAATGTGAAAAAAAAAGGATGTGAAGAAAGGACAACGCTGGGATATCGGGAGGAAAAAGGTGGGGAAATTGGTAAACTTTTCAGAGCCTGGCTTCTCTCTAAGCTTCTGGGAAACGATGATTCTTTTCCAAAAAATTTCTAAAGAGCGATCGCTAAAGCCATGATTTAATTTCTCATGTGTATCGATTAAAAGTGGGTGTGATTTACCTGTGTTATCAATAGAGTTACTTATGTGGAAAAATATATATTGCAAATATGTATATTTGTAGGATATGATTTTCGGTAGGTTCTATACAATTGTATACATATGAGTGAATTCTGCAATTTATCATTTTATATTTTCTGTATATAAGTAGGACTATTGATGTTTAAAAAATAACAATATCATAGCTGTCGGTTAAGACTCTTGAAAAAAGTACAATTATCCGAAAAATATTTCAATAATTATTAAAACTGGAATGTAAGTATCGCAAAAGATAAATTAATATACAGAAAAAATGTTTAATATTGTTTTTGCGTTTATTCTTAAATTTTACTGTCTAAATCTCATTTTTTGTTTATCAGCATTAAATTCGAATCTGCATTTCTACTTATCAGTAATACAATGCGGAAAAGGAGCCTCTGCGAACTAAAAAAAAAAAAAAGATAAAAAAGAAAGAAATGTGGGTAAAATATGATTAGAAACCAGTTGGACGAGTCAAAGCCTAAGAAACTATAGCGATTAGAGCCAATCACTAGCACCGAAGCTTTGGGCATATTGTTTGGTTAACTTTGCATATCAGTATCATAAGGATGCAATAAATAAACCAATGAAGTATCAATAAATAAATATGAATAAATAAATGTCTACTGGGAATTTTGCAACTGAAAAAGGTGATTGGCCAAGAAATATGGTTAGTTAGCTAATATTTACATATCGTCTGTCCATGCGCCATTTTCTTTTACAAGAGGTCTGACAATTTTTTCTGCCAGTGTCGTTAGTTTTGCAATAAATAAATTATAGAGGTCACGATATCTTTAGCAGTAATCTTGTTTTAAAAGAAAAATGCTGATCATTATAGTCTGATAACGAATCATGCCGCGAGAAGATAAGAAATGAAAAAATCGCGTTTCATCCAGGGACACTTGAACATTCCCAGTGTACCACTGGCTGACGCAACTTGAGAGTGACGTCATATGACAAAGACGCCATTTTGATTATTCTTTTTTTAGAAATAGCAGACCTCTTTGAATTCCTGAATCTGAGTTCTGTTAAACATGGCGAATATATTCGATGTAGCCCTTTGTGTACGGAGTTTGCCAGAAGGTTTGGTCTTTTTGCGAGAAGCGGCCTGAAAGAAAGAAGGTTGGAGATGGGTTTCAAGGGGAACAAAAAATAAGGGAGACAAGCATAAATTGTGAAGTGTCTCTTCACGTCCGTCCTACCTCTTTCAACTCTTGCATCTGTCTCTGGGACAGCTTGACTCTCTTGGGGGCCTAGAAAAATCAAAATCTCAATTCCATTATTGAGTACATGGCATTAATAAAAACAAGTGACTGGTAGCAAAGATGAAAGGATCGATGAAGAGAAACACGTGGTACTTGTTTGGTCGGCCGTTTGGTTGGTTGATAGTTGATATAGTTTATGCAGATGAAGAATTGTTAAATCTGTTTTCTTTGAGAGACATTTTCATTTTTATTGTCATTCTGAACGCGTATTTCTTCAGAAATGAGAGATAGATAGATAGATAGATAGTGAAGAAGAAGAAGAAGAAGAAGAAGAAGAAGAAGAAGAAGAAGAAGAAATGAAACCTTCCTCGTTCAAAATACGGTATAAGACAATAAATATGAGAATGCTAATCAAAAGGATCCTGCGGATATGCATTTATCTGGTGGGGAAAATGAACTGCATCTTTTTTTTTCTTTCTTTAAGTATCTGGGCTGAGTATGTGGCTTGGTTACAACACTGAGTTGTTGGAGAATTTGGATGTCTCAGTAGTTTTACACTGTTTTGAAGTGAAATTCTTTTAACATGGAAAACTTATTAAGGTCAATCTATGTCCAAAAACTAACTATGACTACAATAATCCAAAAATAGCTGAATGTTCAACCGCTAAAAACAAATTTGTCTTTATTTTTTTATAAATGTATGGAATTTTTACGATTATTTAATACATGGATTATTCCTGTCAGAATTTTTGAAATGAAGAATTGACATTATTTTCTGATTATTCCAACCAGCATTCTTATTCATGAGGTTTGTAGGAGGAAATATCTAATCCTCCATTGGTGTATTAAATCGATTGTTTATAGACTTGTTAATTTATGACGGAATTCTTTAGTTGAAGGCCGGGCTGTTGTGAATATAAACAATCGAGATATATATATACCAGTTAGAATATTAAAATATATAATAATGGATTATTTCCCTGGAATGCACTCGTTGCCACATACAATATTTATAAAATAGTTTTCTGCGAATTATTCCCAGCATTAAAAACGCTATCATATGATGGAGAACACAAAGTTATCACTATAACTAGCAACATTATTAATGACTGATATGGAAAAAGTTAATATTCAATGTCAAATTTAAGATATCTGGCAAAAGGAAAAAGGCAATGATAATATCATGTTTTGCCATTTTCTGTCATCCATTCTTCAGCCGAGGAGAGACTGGTGAATTTTAAGCAAGTTTTCATCACAAGCTAAAAACATAGCCTAACATATTTTATGTTTTACAAAGCAACGGATATTGGATTTTATATATAAAGATAATACATTCAATAATCAATGTCCGCGTCAAGTTTATCATTAATGTTTTTATTACAATAGAGTCTCTTGCCTGTTCACCTCTCCAGATCATAATAAAGAGAGATAAAAAATATGCTTACTAATACAGTTATAATGTTGATCATAAAATGAAGCTGTTTGCAGATGCAATACAATTTATATTGTATTAACAATGTTTATTGTAAATGTAATACATTTATTGTATTTGCAATAAATTATTTATTATATTTGAAATAATTATCTATATTTATTTAAAGTATCTATTGCATTTTTAGCATTTGTTCTTTTTATCTGGGATCAAAGAATAAATCTGAATTTTATGAAAGAAAAAAGATTTTAAAAAATAGAGGAAAATGGAGAAACATTTGCTTCATTTTTTAAAAATTTTATTTCTATTTATTTTCCAACTAAATAAGACTTTATATCATGGCACAACCGAAATGTTTCGCATCACGCATGTCGTTAACTACATTTATAAAGACATCTTTACAAATGATTTGTTATACTTGATTTAGACAGAAAAATGAATACAACCATTTTCTTTTTCTGATCATTCTCTTTGTTATTTATTTTAAAAAAAAAAAACTATTAAAATATAAAAAAAAGGAAAACTAGAACAGATTTTCATTTTTCTAATTCAAACTTACAATATTTACAAAAACAAAGTTTAATGAAGTCATAATGAAGTTAATTCTTTGTCTAGCGTATGATCAATCATTGACTAGTAGACTTTGCATGTATTATTTGGAGATTTTTCGTTTTTTACTTACCTCGTCACCCATGTCTGTTTCTGGAAATAAAAAGAAAAAAGGTAAATTATTACAATAAAGCATTCATTCATTTTTTTAAATCTTAAATTTATAAAAAAATCATTTTATTTAGTATTTTATGAAAGCAAAGTAAAATAGAGCGAAAAGAATAGAAAAAACACACGAGCATTTGTTTTGTTATACGAGGAATTGATGTATGTAGATACCTGAATCAGAAAAATGGATAAAATTTGTTATATGTTTTCTGTTCTTAAATTCACCTGATCAGAACTTTAATCTCCAGCAATATTTTTATGCAATATTCCATGAAAAAAGATCGTGTATCTTATAAAGTATATATGTGTATGCGTGTACGATTAAACACACGCACACAGACACACACACACACATATATATATATTTATGTAAAAAATAAAAAAATATCAGATATAAATAAAAAATATATCTGTAAAATGACAATATGATATAAAGACAAAAGGAAAACTTATCTTAGCCGAAACACTTCGTCCACTGATGGACTTTAGCAAGGCAAATGCATTTACCAGATGACGATACGCGTAGGCTAACTACGTGTTCCGTCATCTGCTGAACTTTATCAAGGTAAATGCATTTGCCTTGCTTAGTAGTTTTCCTTCGGTCTATATATATCTATATATACCTAGTGAGCCAGACAAACCTACCTAGGTTTCACCTAAACGGATCGTCAGGGAAAGCTTGGCTCTACGATTGTATTGAGCTCTTTTGTTAGTTAGTTGTTACTCGTATCGGGGTTTTTTCTTTGGGCTTCAGACCTGCATCTGTGCGATTTTTTGTCGGCAGAAGTTCATGTTTGTAGCTCTTTCTTTTTTTAAAACCTTTTTTCCCTCGAAATTGATTTGATTAACAAATCAAAAAATTCGAGGTTTTTCAAAACGAGTCTAGTTATCTATATATATATATATATATATATATATATATATATATATATACTGACGCACATACAAATATATAATATATTCTTTAATTTACATTTCTGCCTTAAAAAACATGGAATTTTGCATAAGGATGTAGATTTAATTTCCGATTGTATGATCTAAACAATCAAATTACTACTCTTCACACTTTTCAGGATCGGCACATTAAAAATTACTACACGTTGCAATGCAAGTAGAATAAAGTGATAAACGTATAACGTTCTTAGATTTAACATTAATTTCTTGAAAACTATCAAAGACTTCTTATTAAATATATACATAGATATCTAGATGTGTGTGCACGCGCGTATATGCCTGTGTCTCTTTTTGTAGGTGCGTGTGTCTGTGGAGATTACAAACACGTATTCACACATGCGTAGTGGAGAATAACAAATTTTAAAAACGAAAGAAATCAACGAAACACAATACTCTCTCTTCTCTGTGCCGAGCCCCTTTCGAGTGTAGACGACCATGGCTCTTTACAACTTCCTATCCTTCCTATCTTTTTATCTATCTCTCCCAGTCCATGTCCTACCACCCATTTACAAAAACTCGTTAGTTTACTCGCTGTCCCTCTTGCCTTCAATATTTCTTGTGAGCGTTAAATTCTCCAATTCTCTTTCCTCATAATGTGTCTGAAAAATTTTAACTATTTCTTTCTGATTCAAAGTATAACTGTCTTTTTCTTTCCCTATTTTCCTTAAAACTTCTTCGTTGATCACATGTTCCGTCTATGGTATTCTTATGTAGAACCACTTTTCTCGCTTGCCTCAAGTCTCCTCTTCATCTGTGAGAAAATTATCCATTATTCACTGTCATATAAGAAGATTAATATTACATTGCAATTCTAATATTTCTGAACATTGTCATATGACCATAACCACTACATTACGAGAAAGCATCCAGCAAATCTTCTGAAACTAATAACTGTGCATGCCTATATTATAAAAGAAGTGTCGATTCTCTGACCGTCACACACTGCATCTGACTTTACAATGTGTCTATGTAATGTTTATGTGTATGTCTGTGTTTGACCAATTTAATCTACACACGCACACACATACACACGTAGTTTGAAATAAAACATTTTAATAATGCATTCCTCGCCCAGTCAGTCTGGACAACACCTACTCTGAGCTGCGCAATAACATTCTAAATTTGGAAACAAAAATGTTATTTTTTAAAACCCTAAAAAACACAATTTTATTTTAAAGAAATTATTTGGTAATAAATAGAATTACTTTTTTTTTTAACTATTTTTAAATTTGTCATTAAAGTAAAATATAGATGCGCACATGAAAACGCTGATATGCATACAATTTGAATTAAATTAGAATGTATAACACTGTTTCGAATGGGGGTGAGTAATTTCTCTTTCTGTCTAGCAACAGGAAAATAATATAAGCCGTCCCTTTGAAGTCATTTTTATGACTCTTCCTGTATTTAAACTAAATATATTTTCTAATAAATATAGTATGTAAATATAAACCATCAACTTAGATTTGAAATGACATCATCTTAGTGTCAGCGAAACATCGGCTACCGAACGAGAATAAATGACTTATAACTGAACATCCATGTTGTATATAAACCAAAGTTGTCTACAATCATTTAAATTTGAAGTTCAGAACGTTTTGATTAGTAGATATATGATAAAGTTCCTTTATTTATTATAAACTAGTTATTTGCTAAGTTTTGCTTACTTTTGGTAGAAGGATACAAGTGCGGGACACCTGGTGAGAATCAAACTCAAAACCCAGTAATAATAGCCTACTGAAATAGTTCATTAACCATTACCTGAAAACAAGGTAACATTATTACCCCAATTACTTATAACTTCAGAATTATTTCTGTATTAATAAAACGCATACACACAAACACGAACGCAAGCACACACACGCACAGCACACACAAACACACCCGCACAATGAAACACGCACGCACACACACATATGTATCATAAACAAGTGAAATATTACTCATGAGTGCATAAACGGTAAACTTTAAAAAGAGAGAACAATTTACTTGTTTAAAATTCTACCTGAACTTTGAAAAATAAAGAATATATCGTTCTTTTCAAAGAAAATCATTTAAAATATTTACTTTTAAAAAATGATCTAAGAGAAAAAGAGGAGGAAGAGATAATGAGTGCTTATCCACGTCCAGGTTTTACTACACCGAAGTCTTGAACGAAGAGATGGTGCCATACCTTTTATGGCCAGGCGTATAGCGCATCCAATTCTTAGATTACAAATGCTGTTATAAGTAGGTAATATATCTAATCACTGATATTACAATGATATATCATGCCCGTTTTCGTCTTTTTTTTCTTTCTTTCTTTCTATCTCATACTATTTCTATTTTCTATATATCTATATATCTATTTCAGACTATTTCTGTATATCTATCTATCTATCTAACTATCTATTTCAATTGGTTCATATCTATCTATCTTTCTATCTATCTATCTATTTCTATCATAATTGCTTCTTTGTTCGTTCCTTTATTTTTCTCAGTTCCTTCCATTTTCCTTTTTTTATTTTTTCCCCTAATTTATTTCTGTTTTTCTGTTCTTTCTTTCTTTCTTTCAGTATTTATTTTTAAGTTTTTCATTTATTTTTATTTCTTTTTTTTTTTTTTTCATTCATTAAGTCACTTATTTATTTATTACTTTTTGGTACATTTTATTTATCATTCCTAAAAAAGATTATTTTATGGTGAGATTTTGGTCATAGATTGCCCCTACAAAGTCCATTTCAGTCAGGTTCAATGATATTCATTTCGATTTTTTGACAATTTGCTCTATTTATATAGAGAGAGCGGGAGAGCGAGCCAGACAGTCAAATAGATAGAGAGAGAGACAGAGAGGGGAGAAGTTATATTATAAAAAATAGGTAAAATTGTTTCATTCACGAATTACTCATATTATGGAAAAGACATTCAACTCGGGGAATGTTGAATCCAGATTTGCTTTTGAATTAAAAAAAAACATTTACTTGATAAATAACTGCAAAGCATTCTACGTCTATACACTTCATATATACTTCAACTTTTTGCATTTAAAATGAAAAAGAACATATCCTGATACAAACTTTAAGATTTTACACGATATACAAGTCGTGCATCCATCAGCACAAGCACAAACTTCATCCATTTCTAGTTGTACACATGCGCAGTGGAGATAAACGATTCTTTTCCTCCTGACCATTTTTGGAAATGCTTACGAACGCTGTGTAATTAGGAGCGCATGTGTTTTTTTCTCGGATGTTTGCGTTGATGACAAGATCTGCTTGTTGGCCGCATGCCAATGTAACCGAATATTTAAGAAGTAGAGCTGTTGCTAGATTTCACAAATCGCACATGCCTACTGACTTTGAAGAAGCCGATCTTTTGTGTGTGTGTGCGTGTGTGCGTGTGTGTGTGCGTGCGCGCGCGTTTATGGATTCTGATATATTGGGTGCTGAGGAAGGAAAAGAAGAACTTTTTTTTTTTAATTTTCTAAGTCCTTCTTTTCTTGTCTTGTCTCTATCGGAATATTCAGCTGTTACTTTTTACAATTCCCACCCCCACCATCGACCTGTTTTTCTGTAATTCTCTGGTATCTGCTGCTTCTAACAGCCTCTCTGGCTTATCTCATTTCTGTTGATTAGGAACAGTGAGTATTTTCGAATAAAAGAACAAAAACAAGACACCCCCCCAAAAAAAAAAAACACGACAAATACAGAATCTCGACCCATCTATCCGTTCTAAAACTGTTCTCTAAACTCAGCACGCGGACTAATATGTATACATAAAAAGAATTAATTCAGCAAATAAAAATTTCGTGTTTAAAATTCTAAAACATCTTGAGGGACCCCATACCACAAACTCTTTCTTGAAAGACAAAATTAATTAATGGAAGTTTGTTACAAAAGCGTTGGTGGTTTCGAGGGTTAATTTTTCAAGAGAGTTCGGAAATTGGCATATCCTCCAACTCAATACATTATTATACTTAATCAAATTTTTATTTGTAAAATTCATTCTTTGCCGTCTGGGATCCCATTTTATATTGTTTAACCATTAACAATTTTGAGCATTTCTTTCGTTGACTTTCTTTCTTTTTTTTTAACT